GTGAAACTACTAATCTAGTGGTTTGTTAGTGTGATTTCAATTATAATTGACCATCATGGATATTTTGTGACAAAATAAAAATAAAAATTGGTATTGTTCCAAAAACCATTTTTGGTGTCTGTCTAGGCGGTGCTAGGCCCCTATAGACACTTTTTCAAATCCAACGAAAACCTAGAAAAATATGCCAAGTAAACGAAAACAAATATGTCAATGAAACCAAAATCCAGTTCACCTCAAAAACTTTATCTTTGTCTGCCTTAACCCCTCTGTTTGATCAATTTTCCACCATCTTTAGTTTTCTCGACGATTTGGACACCGTCTTCGATTTGAAAAAAAGAATCTCGATGATGCAACGACGGAGAGCATTAGGATTTTACATCAGAGGTTCTGACTAATCTAAGATTTGGTTATCAAAAGAAACTTCATCTGCTATTTATGCTTATAAAGTTTCTTCAATTCGTAAACCTTTTTCTCTTTTGATGTTGCCAAAATGGAGTCTTTTCAAGTATAAATCTATTATAAAACATGTCGTAGACCTTTTCTTCCTTCAGTTGTTGTTGTTCTATTTTGCTTCTTTTATTTGGAATTTAACAAATCTTTCATGGAATTTTGTGAGTAATGGATCTTTTATATCTTACGGCCATGAATTATTTGTAGATAATGTCCAATTTGTTGTGACTTTTGAGAAAATGATATGGAACTTCACAACTTTTTGCTTCTTCTTTATTCGGTTAGGATTTATAAATCATCATCTTAAACTAAGTAGTGGTGTGAAAAAACACCAACTTTGTCGAGTCTTTGATATCACAGTTTGTGTATTGAATTGGTTTTAGCTTGGGTTCTACAAGAGAAGAGAATGAAATAGGATCATGGATATATTAGCATGGACAACCATATCCATAATATCATGTCCATCGAAACATGACAACCATACACACGATATATTAGTGTGGCCAGCCATGTCCACGGTATCATATAGCTGCGGTTTGACTATGGATTTAATTGTATTCTTTAGGTAACTTTCAGCTCTAATTCTTAGAGCTAAGTTTGTTCAATATTAACATGAGCTATTGTTTGTTTGATGTTAGTCATATTCAGATGGAAATTGCATGGTGGATAGGATGGTTAACAAAATATGATGACCACATGTTCGAGCTTTGCGGGATCACGAGGTTGGCCATGATTAGATGGGCGATAATTTCATGTAAAAATGTGAAGATCAATTTGATTCTTACAAAAAGATGTTATATTGTGAATGATCTTTCGTTTAGGTTTTCTATTAAAGAAGAAAAACCGATCTCATTTGTTTGTTTGCTCAATTTGTGGACATTTGTTTACTTAATTTGTTTCTTTATGTTGTAATACTTTGTCTATTTAGTAATGATCAAATGTTTGAATAAGAATTGACGATAGCGTTTGAAATACAAAAGGATAGCTAAAAACGGTTTTAGCATAATGGTCGGGGGTTTATGGTTATCGATAATAACATATCCATAATAATTCGACCATGTTTACAATGAAATTTTACAACCATAACACAATCTATTTGGACGATGAATCATGGATGATTTGACAGAATGCATTTGGAAGGCCATGTATGGATAAAAGCATATCGATGGTAATTTTTTGTTCAGTTGTGTGTAAATGCTATGATATTAGAAATAGTTTCATCAACAACTCCATTAGATTCACCATCATAAGAAGTCAAGAACGTTGATCCAAAAAACCTATGATAAATCCATAAACCAAAAAAATGTTGTTTCCTTTTCAATGGTAAGGACAAGATATATTACAAACAAAATCTCCATTCCACTATCCAACTCATCTTCTTTAACTTCAAACAACAAATGGTACAACATCCTTTAATCAAATCTAGCTATCAAACAACTTACTGATTGGGAGAAACAAAAAACAAATGATGACGGAATGCTTCAATCTATATTGGATTCTTATACCGGCGATCGACATAAACTCTCTCTTCGATTTCAAAAGCCTTTTCCATACATCACAACGAGAATCTCGAACCATAAAGATATTCATGTTTTCTAAACGTCGGAAAATTAATTGTTTTTTTTTTGGAATTGAATTGATTCCCTAAAACTTTAACAAAATTTATTGCTATATTCAGCCCGAGAAAAAACCGTATTGTGAAATTTCACCTTATTTGATTATTTTCTTCGTTGGACTATAGAAACCAAGAAACGACAAATTTCAAAATGAAAAAATGGGGGAAAAATAGTTCGGCATTGTATACTGTTCAAACTATGCAAAGAAACACTCTTTTAAAACAGAGTTTCTAAATTTTTTTTCAAACGACTTTTTTTTTAATCATGTAAATCTCGTTTGAAACTATGTTACAATATCTAATAAAAACTAAGATTTTTAAAATTAAAAACTATATTTTAAAATGTAATATAGTATGTTTAAAACTATTAATGAAAATTTAACATAAAATGTTTAAGTTAATAATATTAAAAACTTAATATTTTATAGATGAGCGTTATACACAGGACCACCACTTTCTTTTACCCGTTTTTTTTTTGGGTCTACTTATGCGTAATAATGTAGTCGGATCATTGATAAAAGAGGACAAAATTTGACAAAGGCCCTAAAATTTTTATTGTTATCTTCTCAGGCCTTTTTGAGATAGTATTGCACACTCGTGAACATGCAATAAATTAAAGGAGCTTATATATTTGGAAACTCCAATGAAAAAAAAAATGCATGATTATTTCGTAGATATTTTGTAGATCATACGTACCCAAGATTACCGTGACACCTATCACAATCAAATCTTATGAACATTATGTTTTAGGTTTTTTTGGTTAACAGAATTATATATTTCTCTTAACCAAGAAGATTCGGACTTCTCAACCGCCAATGAATTACAAAACTGTATAAGAAAATTTTCCTCCTTTCTAGCTTCCTTACCAGTACAACATGAGAAAGGAAAACACTAATTTAATTAATATATTTGTACATTTATCGGATGTGTTTAATTGCCGATTGGATCAACTTCTAAAATAATAGAAATTGATTAAAAGAAACACTAATTTAAGCTTATTATATCAAAATGAAACCTAACTCTGTTGTCAATAACATGCAATATGGTGACTTGTGCCAATATGATTATTAAACTAATTCACCATAATATAACGAAAAATTACTATTTCAACAATATTTTTTTTTTGCTAAATTTTATTTCAACAGTTTTGTTTTGACGTTTGTAACCATTTACAACCGTGCCATTAATTCTTTGGATGTATATGTGATGTTATCACAGAGACGTACAAAGTAGCATGCATAGGTCATTTTCGCAAACCAAATTTGAAATGATATACATTAGTCATTTCAATTTAAACTTTAAAGTCATATACATCTTCCATCGACACGCATAACATGAGTAGTTCAATTTGAAATGATAGAACTTTAACAAAAAAAATTAATGATAGAAATAAAAGAGTAGAAGCGTATGGAGATTTGATTAAGTTCACGAAAAGCAGTAGAAAAAGAAGAGCGGTTTGGCTTGTGAACTCTGAAACTCATCTACTCATTAATAGTTACAAAGATAGAGAGAGGTGATACATGTGTGTTTCACATTACTCCTTTTTCTTTTATTTTATGGCTCCTCGCTCTTACGGATTAAAAATACAGTATATTTATTACAAAAACAAGATATGATTAGGAAAATTCAATAGTCTTTCATTTGACTCAATCTCAATCTCAGTAATTTATTCGATTGAACTTGATTTTTTCCCCAAGAGCTTAGGAGGTGCTCTAGACCCTCAATTCGAATTTGAATGAGGAAAAAAAACATTTTTAAAAACTTATTTAGGTCTCCATTTCAAAAAGTAACTATGGACTATACATAATTACACTTCAAAACTTAACCCATTACTTTTTATTTCTTATTTCCGCCATTTCACAAATAATATTCTTATAAAATTATTTTTTGCTTAAAAATGTCAATTTATATTTTAAATGACTTTCCAATTTATTTACACACTTAAAATACATATTTAACTCGATTAAGACCTGCGTTAATACGCGGGTAAACATATTGAAAATTATTAATCTCAAAATTTAAGTTTTAATTATAACCCGTTAAATTATAAAAATATTTCTAATATTTAAACATGGGTTTTAAACCA